CTTCTCTGGAGGAAGCCCAAGAGGAGATGATCTCCATGGTGTTTGCGGCAGGACGAGCCACCGAAGAATTCGATTGTGCCCGAATTCGCTTCCTATTTTCAGTTCACCCTTCCTTGACGGGGGTTCGAGATGAAATCTTGGCAGTGTTCATAATCTTGGAAAGTGACGACTGGAAGGAGGGTGTCGACGCCTTTCTCTGGCTGTTGATCCAAAAATACCCTACCCTCGTGGAGCATATGTTTGACCACACTCTAGTAATCAAAGTGCTCAGCATACCAACAGTGTCCCATGAAGTACTCACAGCAATCATCGAATTTAGATTGTCTGCGTCGTGTCTCCAGTGGATCGGGTGGGAGGAAATGCCCTTGCTGTATTATGCAGCCAGGGATGTAAGAGTGAGTCTTTCTTCCTTGAAGTGCGTGGGCGACATGGACCCGTCGATGGCATTTGATAGCCACGTGTCTGGGGACTTGATGCCTATCCGTAGCGTCTTGAGACGACTCTGCCGGCCAGACGAATCGGAACACAAGTTTCGTGATTCGGATATGGCGAAGCTGCACTATCTTCTAAAGCTGTGCCCCGAGAGTGCTTTCATGGATCAACGCAGCGATTGCACCGCGTTGGAGTGGGCCTATGCGAATGGCGCGTCGTTGGATGTGCTCAGAGCCATTTCCGATGTTCACGACCAGTGCGACTTTTCCGACGAGATCTGTGCCCCCCCCTACGCCTACGTGACAGATCGAATTGAATTGAAAAACTCCATTCTAACTCGAGCAAAGCTTGCGGCCATGAAAGGATGTCTCCTCAACCATCCAAAACTAAAACTAATGTGCGGTCCAATGGACTGGGACGTCGATGGAGTTTTCGCCTCGCAGGAATTGTTGAACCAGAGAACCCACCCTCTCGACTTAGGAATTCGTATCCCCGAACCTGGATGTCTATTGCAAGATGGACAGGCCCATGGTGATGCACCCGTCTTCGTGGCGGACGCGCTTCTGGGGCAACTCGATTATGTCCACTCGCTGCAGCTACATTTCCCCGAAAGCAAATCCTGCCACTCCACCGTCCTGCAGTTCTTGGAGCGCGGTCTCCAGAAAAATGTGAGCATTACTGACCTCAGCTTGATCTATCTTTGCGTTGACGAAGATTGCTGGTCGTCTCTCTACAATATCATGGCCAAGACAAGGATCATGAAATTTTACCTGCACATTCGCGAACGACTCGATCCTGCTCCAGATTGCAGTATTTTGCCAGCCAACAACAATCGTTTGCACACATTCAAGTATGCTGACAATGATCGCAACTCAGGGTATGCCGACCTCTCGAGTATGCTTGCCCTGGTTTCCCGACTACCAGAGCTCCACCAGATCAGTTGGCGATCACCGATAGATGTTTCTGGTTGGATCTTGGAACGGATCGAGGCAGGTCGTCTGAAGGAGCTACATTATGAATCAAGCCGACTTTTGAATATGAAGACGCTGACCGAAGCCCTTCGCGTACAGTCTTCCCTCGAAGTCCTTCATTTGGAGCCAACAACTGAAAAAGAAACATACACGAAGGCAGATTGCAGAGTCCTGGCTAAGCATCTGGAGCGTGAAAACTTTTCGTTGACGAAAGCCAAGGTACTACCATGGCATGCGGATGGCGCTGAGAAGGACGCAATGTATGTTGAGCACTTCACAGCGTTGAATGCTCTCGGGAGGAAGACGCTGACTTAGCCAAGTTGCACTCGCGAGCACCTTTGTCAGAAATGCTCGAGATCCGTGTCAAGAAGGTGCGGATCGGTCCGATGTACCCTCCCTACGATTCGATATACTACCCTCCCTACGATTCGGTGGCTGAGTTGAATGCCTTTTTCAATTACTTGTCCCTGTGTCCCGAAACCTGGAGCGTCCCCGTGACCCGAAACCTGGAGCAGGAAGTCGCTGAAGAACCCAACGTGCACCAGGGAGTGGCTTGTTGGTAGCTTGATCTCGACAGTACATTGCACAAAGATGCAAAAACGCTTGTTCCTTTTGAACTATTGTTGTCATACGTCAAAGTCTGGAGCCACAAAATGGTCTAAACGCCCGAATCCGGTTCTCACCGAGTGTTGCATCCGTCTCAACTGGGCAAATCGTCAGCCCCAACGCACTGCCTGATGAATCAATTGTCATGCTGCGGGCTTCGTCCCTTTAGCTCTACCGGTATCTAGAAACATAGTTGTAATCCACCAAGTAGAAGGGTAGCTGTAACAAACCTAAACATAGTCACACCAAGATGGCTGCTTGGGTCTTCACCTAAAGAGAGGTACAACTCACTAAAGGAAATGGCCCTTGAGGAGAGACCCTTTGGTTCCCCGACTACTACGGTACACCATCAGTGTAGCTGCCCAACAACGCAGGCAGAATTTGAGCTTCATCACAAAGCGGTACGAAAACAAGTCGAGGGGTACCGTTAGTATCCCAGAGCCTTGTGTTCATGTAACCTGAGATGCTGCTTAGCCCCATGACTACAAACCCCTTGGTATCTAAGGCCAAATCAGAGCAACTCCCGAAACTAAGGGCCGCTTGAAAGTGGCTGGACGTTTGCCGTGGTGTTGGCATCACAATCGGTTCAGCTCCTTGTACAAGAAGGATCTTCCCTCAACTGAAGACGAAAGTTGCAATGAAGTAAGTCTATTGGATGTGGTCATTGAAGATTTGTCTATGTATATATCTATGCAATCTATGCTTGGTATATTTTCGCTAGGAAGGAATGATCAGAGAAGGGGGAAGTATTCAAAGCTCAAGCGGTAACCGCCGCCGTGATTTGGGATTGGGCTGCTCTTTTGATTTCTGTGGAGCCGAATCGTTTGCTGATGACGGTATTGTAATCGTCTTGGGTGGCTCCGAGGGTTTTCCCGCCAAGGAAGGATGCTGCTCGGCTTGATGGGCTACAAATGTGTCCAATAGCTCCTCTCCCTCCTTGGTTTGCTTCAGGTGATGCACAAACTCGTAGATTTGATCCAAATCTTGAGATCCGATTCGATCGAAAGCATTCGGTTGCGTCCGTCTGGGAGATCGGCGGCGCTTCTTGGCCGCTTGGGCGGGAGAAGGCGCCGGGGACGTGGCTCCATCTTTGGTGGGGTTTGTAAGCGAGGTGGCGTTTCCCATTGTTGGAAAGTTGGCGTGCTGGTGCTTTTGCTTTGGTGGTTTTAGATTGCTTGGGTTCTGAATTGTGAGGATGGACTTGACACCTCCGACGAAAGAAACATCGATGGATAAGGGACAATGCAGGATCGTGATGCAGTACCTACTTTACCGCTATGATACCCACATGTCATGCATGAAGAATGACTCGACTCAAGCCAGTTTTGGCACATAGTTGGCATGAAAGAAGAGAAAAGCCTAATGAATGATTGCGGAAAGCCTCCTTAATTAATAAATAAACAATTCTTGTGATCGGAAAACTCAGGTTTGAAAGGCCTAAAGGAGCACCTGGATACCTGGATTTCTGGTACTAGTAGGGGGCCTGTGTTGAAGAGACTAAAGGTAGCGATAGATGTATACGAATGATGTTATAAGATTATGAGGAAAAGCTACTTTGTTGTCTCTGGATATCTGTAGATGAGTGGAGGTAGATTCCGGTTGACGGTGGACGGTCAGACGGCCGGAATCAGCACACCCTCAGCCTCTACTCAGGTATGGGCTGGAGATAGCGTGCGCGTTTGAGAATGTGGTGAGCTGTCGGGTGATGCTTGCTGAAGTAGTCAGCATCATTCTCTTTTCCAGGGCGCCAATATACTAGGAATTGGCCCTGTTGTATGCGATCTCTGATCCATAGAAGCGCATGTCGATTGCTTTGGATCGTCGTTGTTTGACTGTGTTAAAGGCGAGTCCAACGGCCACTCGTTGTCGGTTTGGATCGGGTGGCTGGTTGTGGATGGCCATTTCGTCCAAGGTTGTGCGGATTGTGCAAGCTTCCCTGGCATTGTAGTATAGAGCTGCCAGTTCTGCTTCCGTAGCTGAGGCAAGCACCATGGGTAGAATGGAGCTGATGATTAGGATGGCTCCGTTGTGTGGAGGGAGCTTGTCCGCTGGTTTGGGAGCTGTGTTTGGTTGTTGTAGTGAGTCAGTAGGATGAAGTGGCCTGCCACTCTAGGCTGCTTCGGTTTCAGAGTGGTATGATGCATCACTGTGGATGGATAGGATCATGCCGCTTGCTGGTATCTGACTTTGGCGTCTGGGTGGGTGAAGCAATAGTCTAGGAGTTGAGCTGCAGCTTCTCTTGGTGGCCTGAGTTCTTTGGTCTGGGCTGAGGCAAGTGCCAAGGGCTACTAGCATGGTTGAGTCCACTGCTCTTCCATAATATAGGAGGGTTCCTATGATTTCTTTGGAGGCGTTTTGTGTCTTTTGTTGGAGAGGATTGGTATGTCAGCTTTGGCTGTGAGCTGGGTCTTGGCTCATATTGCGGTAGGTTGCATTTGTATGGTGAATGTTGGGCTCTGTTTGGGTTTGGATGTTCGAAACGTGCTAGGGCTTTTGTGATGTACCCTGGCATGGAGAGGTCGACGTTCTGTTGGTGTAGTCCCAGTTTAGGGTGAGACCGCAATAGAGGCTTCCGGTCCAGTCCGTCGTCATTTTGTATTGGGCTTGGATGGTGTCGATGAGGTGTGGCATGTTCTTCGCCAGTGTTACTGGATTCCGAAATCATCTATACCAGTGTGAACATTATGGCCTTGTAGTGTGTTTGAGAGGCCGTGGGGTGTGTTTGGTTTGGTGGTAGCATTTTGAGCTAGTGAATTTGACTAGTCGATCTTTGCAAGGCGTCCGGCTTGGGGTAGTCCATACATGCCTTTTCTTATTTCTACGTAGATGTATCCGTTATGGATTTTGGAGTCTAGGTCGTATCGGCGCATGATGTCAGCTGGGATGTCATCTACTCGAAGCCGCATGTATTCGTATTCTGTCATTGGTGTGTTTAGATAAAAATCTTTTATGTCTGCGTACAGAATTTGGGCATCGGAGTGGATATGACCTGTTTAGTAGCATTTTACGGTAGTTAGATCGGATGTTTTTGTTGAAACTTCACGTCGTTTCAATGCGGTTTCCCCCGACGGTCCATCGGACTCGTTTCGTTTACCACTTTGTGTGGGCGGTTTCGGGTACAAGTCGAGCATATGTGGGTTTTTATTGTGTGGCACCTGGTCCTTGGTGATGAGTAGCATGTGTTGGTTCCATGTCGGCGTGGGCGTCGTTGCCTTGGCAACATCGGCCAATTTCGTCACTAAACATTTGTTCCCATATGTTTCCTTCAGAATTTCGTCTAAGTCTTGTTAGCTGGCTTCTCGACCGGTGTCGATGTTGACAGCGTTGCAGACTTGCGGAGCGTTGAAGGGGGAAGGCTGGGGGAAAGTGTTCCAGGCGGTGGCTTAATAATTTTTTTAGGGCTATGGCTGCGGGTTGTTGCGTTTTTTCGCTTTGATCGTGGGCCTTAGATGGATCGGTTGTGATTTGGTGTTGGGCCGTAGATTTGCGTGTTTTGCGATGGCTTTTCTAGTGGCAGCCGATTGTTTTCTGGCGGCGTGGGCTTTTTGGTTGGGTGTTGGTAGTTTGCGGTGGTGATGTTTTGTGGCAATTCGGTCTTTCCAGTCGGGATCCCGAGTGGGTTGGTTTGATGGGGCCCTTAGGATCCAGGGTGTCTTTGTGGGGCACCCTCTGAAGTGGTGTCGTCTTTGGGACGGTGGGAACTCTGTTGTGAAGTATTTGTTGATGGTTTCTAGTTGGTGAATTCACTGTCGGTTAACGGGGGCTAAGGGAGAGTTGGTTGGGTTGCCAATGCGTTTGTGAGATCATGGGCTGCTTTGTGACTATGTCTGTTGTGCTGTGGGTGGGCATGGTTACATGTCTGGTGAACCATTCTACGGTATCACATTATTCGGGTGGCTCTGTTGTCAATGCACCATGCTTGATAGCACAGATACGAGTCCATGGTCAGGTCCAACGTAACCATGCTTCTTTCGCATGGTGGTCCCGATGATGCTCGATTTCTGGTTTTTCGTGGCCTAGACGAATGTGCCTGGTGGAGCCATGGGGGTGCGGTTGAAGTCGAAGAAACCGTGGACTTGGGCGTACGCAGAGGGTTTTGGGTTGACTCTGGAGCCTCGAGAAGGTTGAGTGTGATGTTGGCTTGCGGGATAAGGCGCACGATAGGTGCATTGGGAAGTTGGATCACAGCCGCAAAATATAGCAATGAGATGGTTTTTTTCGGTTCGGATGGCTCGTTTGGCTGCGTTGCGTCTATGCATGCCGGGTGGGGCTAGTTGGAAGTCAATGTTTTCGTAGCGTAAGTGTTCTTTTAAAATATTTGAGCATTCGTTATCTAGGCGATGTAGTTCTGGTTTAGATCCAGCTTGGAACTAGTACGGCGTTGCTTCGTTTGAAGGCTGAAAGAATTTCTCCGTGCTGTTCGGTTTTTCATCGGTTCCATGTGAATGTAATTTGGATAGTAGCTGATAGGACAAAGTATATATTGCATGCCTTTGGCTGGAGGTAATGGGAAGTTGTCCCTGTTTGGTCGGTGTAAATTTTGGCCGGTTGGTTCACGTGCAATCATGGTTGCGTAAGCACGCTTGGGTGCGTTGTCCTTTTGGTAGGGCTGGCGGGGATTCAGATGGATAATCGGTAACTGGTGGTGGCCGTTTAGGTTTTGTGATTTTGGTTCCCTGGCGTTGTTGGTCCTGTGTTCCTTTAGTTGTTGCCTTTGATTGGGGTGGGTATTTGCGGAGGCTTTTTGTGTTGAGGCCTGGGAAACCTGTTATATAGTGCTTGTCGACTGCAGTTTTGAGCGTTGAGAGTGCTGGGTTGTCCCATAGTAGCGTGACTGAAGGCTACCGTTTGGGCTTTGGTGGGATCAAAGGTGTGCTGCGTTGGCGAAGTTGTGGGTCGGATTGATTGTGACCGAAGCTGCTTGTTTAATTGGATCGATCGGTGGAACCGGGTGGGTTGTCTATGGGATGTGCCATAGGCCAGTCTGTGGGTGTTCGGTAGCACGTATAATGCATTGTTCGTTGTAATAGACCTTGACTGTGGTGTTGGTAAAGGTGGCTGTGCATCCACTATCGCAGAGATGTCCTAGCGAGATGAGATATCCTAGCCATGTTTGATTTCTTTGACATAGATGAGCTCTGACATGCTGCAATGTGGTAGGGTGGTATGGTGATGGTCTCCTTTCATGGGTGGATGTCATGGTGGCTCCTTGTCTACTACGACTGTGATTGGGTTGTGTAGTGGGGTGTTTGTTTTGACAACTAGCATTCCACATTAGGAAAATGAGACGTGGCTGCACTATCTAAGGCACCGTAATTGTTGTTTTTTATTGGTGGTTTGGGAGGACCTAACGAGTCGTTGTTTTCTTGTTGAACGTGGGTCTGATTATTTTTAGATGACTGTTATGGTAGGCGTCCCGCTGAATCAGTTTCCGCGGCGGGGCTGGTATCGTTCGTTGCTTGCTCCCATTTTGTTTTGAGCGGTGCCTGGATTTGTGGCCCTCCTTTGGGAAAGTTCACGTATCACTGTTGTGGGCTGGGTTGTGGCAGTAACCGTGAGTCCAGACCCATCCCATGGCATCGAGTTCGGCTGCCGTGAGACCACAAGATCGAGGTGTTGGCCTGGTAGCGAGGGTCGGTTTGGGGCGATTCGGTGGTGGTGGTGGTGGTTGCGTTTGTCTGCTTGCGATTCTCGAAGGTGACTCTTGGACGATCCTGGGTGATCGTGGCTATGTCGATCAGTTGTGGTGGGTGAGCGTTAGAAGTCCCGGTGGTAATGTTTGGGTTGTCCGTGATGGTTGCGTTGGCTCGTTGGTGGGTAGCCTGCGGCGCTGACAGTGGTTTCTGTTGGAGGAAACATACCTGACACCTCTTTACATTGACTCGTGTATTAATCGCTGAGTCCGGTTCGCATGTAAATTGATCATGCAAGGGACCAAGGGAGTTTTAGGTCTAAAGTGTTGAGCGGGGTCCTATATATCAATTCAAATCACAAGAATTGCTATGCACCACCAGGAAATCCTCACTTTTGCTTCAGCTTAATCCAAAACCAAAATACCCCTCAATAAAGCTGCAGTTATTACTAGCTAACACGAAAAGCAAAAGCCCATCTCGAAGTTACTACTACCGATCTGCAGAGTCGATATTCAAGGAAAACCAAGTCAAGGACATCAAAGTTCATTGACTTGAAGTGAGTTTACACCTGCAAAAGAGAAGAGGTGCACAGAATCAGGCTCTAGCTTACACTATCGAGAGCATCAGAAAAGCCTCTAACACGA